AGTCTAACGTTGTGTGATTTACATAAAGGGGTTGCGTTGTCAGCAGGTTTAGTATATCACTAGGTATATAACACTTTGGTTCCAACAACATAACTGTGATGGAGTAACCCGCTGGGGGTTCGCGAACATCTCCATAGGAAATTGATGCAGGTTAATATTGAGGCCATCGGTAGGACGTGTATCGGTCGAAGGGTTTCCATAACCCGCCCACAGGCTGCTCTTAGCATTAAGTACGAAGTTTGTTAAAGAAGTGATCGAAAATTATCCGAAGAACTTGTGGTGTTTAAACGTAGCTCTAATTTTCTCTGGCATACTAGTTGAAAAGCGTGAAACGAACGTAAATGTCCAAGACTTCCTGAATTCTGTCATTAAATCCCCCTAGAGGTTTTACTCCATTTCTTTTTACAATTAATACCACTCGAAATTATACTTCAAACCTCACATTAGCAATTCTAGTCAAAAGCGTACTGAAACCTCCATCACAGCTATCCTTCGTTGAAATCTGTTGTAAAAAACAGCCTGTCTTTGAATTGGGAGAAAATATGGTGAGTGTAAAGTTCGTTAATTTTCAGTCTCATCTTGTCTCACTTTCTCCATTTACAAGCAGAACAATAAACAGTCAATATATACATACATATATACAAGCCCAATATCCATTACTCCAGCTATTCACCCGCATAATGCCTTACATTACACATTCTCACTCTCTTTCTTTCCTACTCAAAACCGCGTTCTGCGGTGCGCATTCAACATTTGCACTCGATTCACTCAACCTTACACCAACCGAAAAAAAAAAATCTTTTACATTCGTTAATTAAAAATGTTTTAAAATCTTGCTGTTTGCTATTTCCATGTTTGTTTTGTTGTTCATTTGTCTAACCACTGCGCTGAGTTGTTGTTTAAAGAGGTGTGGATAATTTTAGAAACTTTTCGCAGGAACTTTCGCTTTAGTTGTAAACAAGTTTCGACAAATTGCTGTTAATTGTCTGTCGTTAAATGTGGCCAGCAAAAGAATGTTGAACAAGTTGCAGATTAAATCTAATTAGTAGAGGAACAAAGAAATGCAGAGGTGTGGATATCAAACCTATAGCTTGTGCTGCGAGTGTAATCAACATTATCCTAAATGTAGGCAACGTTTTATACTTTTTGTACAATATCGTCTTAAATGTAGGCAAGGGTTTTTATTTAGTTTTCGTTGAGTAACAAGTTAGCAACTAAAATGTTGCCTACAATCAGGCGCATTATTACAACTAATTTCAAATTTTTGTTCAGAAGTGCTACAGTCATTGCATAGTAAATTTAGGAGTTATTAATGAAGCTTTATGGTACAATATATTATTTGGCAAGAATTGTTGCCTCTCTCAATGTTATTTGTGCTGTTCTTCTGCACTTCTTTCTTTTGCTCTTAGGACATACATACTATAAGTGGCTCTTCACAATCGTCTTAAATTTATTATTCATCAACGTCTTTAATTTCGTTCTTGTATGTGTATTTTTTTTTCATTGCCAACCGAAATACGCAGCCATATTATTTGACCAGTCACGCCTCCTACTACCGTACAGAGAATTTCACATGCGTCTGGGAAATTTAAAACCGCACACAACAGATCGACATTGAAGAAGTTGCGGAAAACCGCAACAAACAAGTGCATTGCGAGGATGCGTTGCGGTCGCAAGCAGGGAGCCACCCAATGCCGCGACCCGAACAGCGCGTGCGTTCGATTGACGTGGTGGAGGAGAAACGCGCAATTTTAAAATGCCACAACCGCCTTTACCGCGTTGCTTTCAATAACTTCAACTTTTGACTACATTTTTTGGACACATCGTATTTGTTCCCACACAAAGCGAGTTGATGGCTGAGCAGAGCAAACAAAGAAAAAAAAGCCAAATATCAAGCGAAACGAGAAATGCAGATACGCGGCATTACAAAATCGCATTGCATCAAACTAAGCGGCAAAAAGTGTTGCAAATCGCGTTGTTACTGCTGCCGCCGCTGCTGTTGTTGCTGTTGTTTCAGTCGGTATTGCGGCTATTGCAGTTGGCAAACATTTAATTTTCGAAAATGAAAAGCATTCAAAGAACTGCAATATTTGCTTAGTTCGCTTTGAGTAGCACGGTGTAGCGCAACACATCCTCCGTTCCCATCGTCATCCTCCGTCATCCATACGTGTATTGTACGTCTCTGTCGTCCTATTAAATTCTTTACCTGAACAGACAGCGAGCGCATCAATGAGCGAAATCATGATATCACAGTACCGCAGCGAGTCACGCATCTCACGATCGAACTATTATTATTGCCACAGCTATGCTGCCAAAGATATTCCCACCTTCGATTTAAATGTATGCTATGTAGGTGAATGACTGTGTATTTGAATGTGTAACCGATTTTGTTGTTGGTGGGCGCATAATTGCGCTTGATATTGCCGCGTGAATTAAACTCATTGATGAGGTAAGTCAAGGAAATGTGTAGCGACGTAGCGCATTAAGTCCGATTTTTATTTCTACTGCCGCCCACTGCAACCAACCTGCAAAGCAACTTACGATGTTTGAATATATCACCGGAGAGATTAGAGCAGTGCGTTGCCTTTGAACACTAGAAACTTCATTCGTCAAAATTGGTATGGCAGCCTTACTGACTCGAGTTTAAAACCGTTGACCATACTTTACTAAGTGAAGCTTACCAAAAATCCCTTTAAGTAGCGGGGACGTCGACGTTTGGGCATCTTACCTTATTTAGACCACTGGCTTGTTTTGAAGGAGCAAACAATTTATAGAAAGCGCAGTCGAAGTTTGGGGCTTATGTAATATTAACCGCACAGATAGAGGTGTTCGCGGCTCACCTTGTTTTTTTTGTTTATAACACTCTACAACTGTCATTAAGGATTTAACTTCACTTTCGGCGCATAAACCCTGAGTTGATCTTCCAAATTTGTCAATTACAAACCAAAAAGAACATTTACAAACTCTTTTACAATCCAATGGAAGATTAGGCTGTGTGCACTAAGTGAAAATAATTTGCTAAAAGCTTGGCTAAGAAGCTTTCTATTTTTAATTCTTCCCAAACGCTTTTTGAGCTTGAGCAATACGTATGGGATTCTCTTAAGCAACTTTTAGGGAATTTTATTACTTTTTCCATGACACCTTGGTGTGAAGGGCTAGGATTTGAGGTTTATGTCTTGGCTAACTCTGAGCATCGGAAATAGATATATTAGGTCAAGCAAAAAGTTCGTTCGGTTTTTTTTTTATCTAAGAGATGGCGTTATTGTCCATAGTACTAGTGTTACGTGTCGCATAATGTCATACTATATGGCGCTGACAACGTTTTTTTCGCGCTAAAAGTTTGTCTTTGGCAGTTTTTCGATTGATTGACTTAGTACGTTGTGAGCGCTCGTCAAAGATGGACACCAGAAAATTCGCTAAATTTTACAATTTTTCTTCGATCAAGGCGAAAAAGCAGTCAAAGCGGCTGAAAAAATTAATTTAGTTATGAGCCCGATACTGTAAACGAATGTGTGCTAGGTTCCGCTCCGGTAATTTCGATGCCAAAGATGCACCAGGTTTTGCTGTGTGTTTGGTGGAATGGGCAAGGAATCATCTACTACGGGCTGTTCCCCTATAGCCAAACGCTCAATTCGGCCCTCTTCTGTCAAAAAAAATGGACCGCTTTATGGCAGCACTCATCCAGAAAAGGCCATATTTGATTAACAGAGGCCGAATTGTGTTCCATCAGAACAAACGCCAGGCCACACACGTCTTTGGTGACGCGCCAGAAGCTCCAGGAGCTCAGATGGGAGGTCTTAATGCACCCACAATGTAGTCTGGGCCTGGCACCAAGTAACTACCATATTTTCCTGTCCATGGTGAACGCGCTTAATGGTGAGAAGTTGGTCTCAAGAAAGGCCTGTGAAAATTGGCTCTCCGAGTTTTTTACCAATAAGGATGAAGCCTTCTACGAGAGGGGTATAATGAAGTTGTCATGTCGTTAGCAACAAGTTTACGAACAAAACGGCGCATATTTGACTTAAATCGGACAAATGTACACAAAGTTATTATATTTTGAACAATTAAAAAAAATTTAAAAATTGCATGGGAATGTAATTGGTTTATGTCTCGACTAACTCTGAGAATCGAAAATAGATGAGTTTTCTAAAATTATATTGGAGTATAATCATATCAGTGTTTTAGTAGGTAGTTTTTTTTAGCGCGATGTAACCGCATTCCGAGTGGCTTTGGGGAAATATGAGAATAAACTTTGCGATCCAACAAAATAGTTAGAAGATGGTACTCCAAATAAGGACTAATATTCATTTATCCAAGCTAACCTTCAATCCTTTAACTGGAAGGAAAGCACAAAGAAGCTTGACAGATATTATTATTTCTTGGATGGAATCGAGCCAAGCATTGAAATGAATTACCTAGAAGGTAAACTTGACGAGGAAAGTAGCTCATAGATGTATAACAAGCCAACTTTAACCTGTGAAGCAGTAGCGCTAACAAAAAGCTAAATAAATTATAAGCAAAGGAGCGGATTAAGGTAGAGGAGCTTTACTCAAAGATAAGATCCTTCATCTATGTACAACAGAGGTGGCATACTAAAAGGGTTGGGCTTTGACAAGTTGTACGGCCCTGAAGAGATATGCACAGGGTATTGGTATAACAGCAAATGTGGAACCAAAAACGACAGACTGAGTTTAATCGCTTTGCCTTCGTTCACCCTAGGTTTTTCCGGAGGAAACATAGAGGCGGTGAATTATAATAGTTATGGATAGCGAAATCGAGTTCAGATCCCAGTGCCGATCCTTAAATCTATCTATTAATCTATCTACGGTGAGCTTCGTGGTTCAAACACTTCGAAACACCGACAATTACGTTTAAACTAGTTCAAAAAGTTTTGTTCTATGTTTTTTTAGCTGCGTTTTTCCTACACTTTTGCATTTGAACAAGAAAAAAGTAATACAACAATTAATACGAATATTGCTTATTTAATTGAAAATTGAAAATCAATCCAATGGCGGATCGTGCCATTCAAAACACACGTGACAAACGTAAAGATACATCGACGTGATGATCACATTACCGATCATCAGTGGAAATCCGACGCAGAAAAATCGTTTGAAAGTGAACGAGTAACCATGCTGTTCGGCCACACCGGCAGTCACCACATTCGCAGAACCGCCAATTAATGTGCCGTTACCGCCGAAGCAGGCACCCAACGCCAACGTCCACACCATCGGATGTAACGGCAAATGAAGTTCCTTATTCTGTGACAAAGAGATCACAATGCGAATCATCATCGTCGTTACGGGAATGTTGTCGAGAAACGCCGAAGCTATTGCCGATACCCACAACAGCAGTTGTATAGCAACGAGTAGACGTTGCTCTTCACTCACAGATCGCACCACATGCTCGACCATTTGACCCAGCACAGCAATGATGCCGATTTCGGATAAAGCTTCCATTAATACGAACAGCGCACCAAAGAATATGAGTGTCGACCACTCGACACGACCCAGCACCGCTTCCATGTCACGCACATCGGCCAGTATGAGTAGCATGATTGCGCCAAGCAGTGCGCATTCGCCGAGCGATAACTGATGCAGTCCGTGTACGGAGTGCATAAAGAATAAAGTCATAACAAATGCAAAAGCAATGACGGATTTGATGAGTAGCGTTTTGTTGCGTATGCCGTGGGATGCGCGCAGCTCGGCTAATGTTTCCTCATAGTTTGCTGTTGTCGTTCTGCGTGTACCTAGTTTTCTAATGTGCTCTTTCACTCGTTGTGCCTTCTGTTTGAGTACCTTTTTTAGCTGCTTGGTATCCGGTGAGTAGGGTTGTATGGCGGCGGCGGCGCGCTCCCATGCGTGGACACCCTGTCGCAACTCGCTTTCGGCTGTTGCCTTATATGGCACGACGCCCAATTTCCGAAATGTAAGTCGTATCTGTATGTATGTTTGTAGCAAAGCCAATAACACGCAAGGCAACGTGTGCAACATGAAATTTCCGAAGTTGACATCGTGTGCAGATATAAATGAATTCGTGGTGATTATGATATTCGGTGGATCGCCGACGGGTGTCGAGGCGGCGCCCACATTAGCATATATCACCAGAAACATCAATACCAATACCGGATCGGCTTGCATGACTTCGCACAGCTTTATGATGATCGGTGCAATGAGCAACATCATCGTAACACTATCCACGAAGGCGGAGATCGTGGCGGTAAAGAAGCACAATATGTTTACCATGGGCCAGATGTGTCCCCTGGATATTCGGTATGCTTGCACGGCGAAGTAATCGAATATGCCTGACTCGGCAAGCACGCCCACTAGTACCATCATGCCGAAGAGTAGCAAAAGCGTTTCTGTATCCATCCATTTAATGATCTTACTAACATTCGGCCATGAGCGCATAAAGCCCAGCACCGCAATAGCCAAAGTGGCTGCTATAATCGAGACAAAGGTGCGATTGATCAGCTCCCACACTATCGATATGTACAGGAAGGCCAGCACCAAGCCGCCGAGTATGATGCCAGTGTGCGCATCCAGGGAACGTTCAAAGAAATATTTCATCGTTAGTTCTCTATCGATATTTGTGTTCATACGTAACTGCAGTTGGACTTTCTCGCTTGCCTCCGCCGTATAGTTCGTCATACTAAAGTGGCCATACACCTTCACTGGTTTCACATAATCCATCTGCTCGATGTTAGTGAGCATAAAGTATTGTACATTCGATACCAGCATTACGTTTGTTATATTTTTTCCACTCGCATCGAAAATGGCTTTCTCCAAATAAGCTGTCATGTGTTTATTTACGCCCGCATCTGTCTTGGAGGCGTGTACGCTGACCAGGAAGGGACCATAAGCTCTCAGACCGAGTGCACTACGTGAAATACGCTTCGGATTGATAATGATGGTCTTTGTCTCGTTTGGAAAGATTGTCGTGAGGAAGCCCTCCATTTTCTCGAGTGGCATTGTTGGCAATAGCACAGCCATCACAAGCCAAATACCGCAGAGAAATATCACTTTTATGTAATAGAGAGTCTTTTGAAATGGAGTTCTTACTATATGAATCGATGACGCGCGCTCTGGCTCTTCTTGGGGCAGATTTAGGCGTAGCTTCTTTTTCACATCTTTATCCTTTGACAGTGGTGGCTCTTCGTCGGGCTCATCCAAATTTATATCATCAATATCACTTTTATCATCTTCCTCAAAATTGTTGGCCATAACGACGTCTGCAGCTCTAATCGCAATTCTATTTGCGTGAATGTAAAATTTGTAATGATTAACGTGCGCTTTCAAACATTGAAGAGCTTTTGGGATTCGCTGAAAGCCAAATAGAGAACTGAAAGCGTTTTTTGACGTTTTCCTTGCCGTTTGAAATTGGTAGAGGTTAGTGTTGTAAGTGGGAAAATTCGAGTCTACAAAATAGTGTGTTTCGAAAATTAAAAAAATTTTTTTTTTTGGAATTCTCAAGACAAAGTTTAAAAAGCTTTCCTACACAACAGCACACAAAAGTGTTTTGGGTCATAATATTTTTTGTTAATGGATTGAAGACATATTTGTATTCGGGAATTTTTAAGTTATTTATAACTGCAGAGCAGTTCGTGTCGATGTGAGGAGTACATGAGACATGTCTTCCGAATGCTGTGCCGAAGATACTTTCCTTGCTCAATCACAAAATTTATACGTGAATTCAAGGCTCTCATAGACGCTGGTTTCTGATAAATATTTCCTGTTATTGTTATTGTAGCCGCAGATGAAGATGGAGAGTATGACTTGGTAATAGTGTCACCAGGACGGAAATGAAGGTGATTTAGTTTCTTCCACTTTTTTGAATAATGTGCTAAGTACTTTTTCCCGTCACCCAAATGCATCAGATTGGGATGATAGCGACAATGAGACTCTTTGCATTTTACGTAATAGGTTCTTTGACATTAAAAGAAACCTCCATTTTGTGGACAATTCTCAAATTTAAATTGAAAATTTAAGCGACGAAATGTTCAAAGTAAGAATGCTGTGTAATATGATTCAAAAGAACTCATAGCTTTGTTTATTGAGACTGAAAGCAGAGTAGAGCAGAGTAAGTTAGAGTATAATGGAGCAGCTGTCAAAAAACTGAAGAGCAAGAGAGAGAGACGTATTTGAAATGCTTAGTAATGAATTACAAAATTCAGAAGAGTTCCAAAAGCTAGATGAAATTAAAAAGTCTGGTGCCAAAATGCATTTAGCATTATTTCTTTGATTTGCGCGGCATGAAGCCTGCTCTATTCGAGATATTTAAGATCGTTTTAATGTATTGATGAGTGCATAAGTTCGTGCCCGATTTCAAGTGCAAACTAAAATTGTAATTTTTTGAAGAAAGCGCTTTTATTAATCAATTATGTATTCGGCATCATGTTCGGCAATCCACTCCCAAAGTTCAACCAATTTACGGATGCCTGATTCATAGAAATCGCTCGGTTTCTCGTTGAAAGAGGTGTCAAGGTGGTTTTTGACGTCTTCCACATTTTTAAATCTTNCTACGATATATAATATGTATATATTTCTTTCACGAGCGCCACTCTCAAACGATTCGAACGGCATCCAGCGGAATCGGGCACGAACTTATGCACTCATCCAATATCTATTGGAACTACAAGCCGAATTATTTCAACGGCTATTTATTTTATAAGCCGAATGTCCAATATTTATATAAAATGGCCTAATGATGAGGAGAAAAGTATAACTTCAGAGTACGTCAAAAATAAAACTGGATTAAGTGAAGTCATTGGTTAGTCAATCGTACCATGTACATATGAAAATGTCTCAAAATTACATTGAGTAAAAGAACGTGTCGGGAGTGGTTTCAACGTTTTAAAAATGGTCATTTCGATGTCGAAGACAAACATGGTGTATTTGGTGGGTTTAGCTCGGTGTGATTTACTTCGAGCTCTTAAAACCGGGTGAAACCATCACAGGAGATCGCTACTGAACGCAACTGATGCGCCTTAGTCGCGCGCTAAAAGAAAAGTGGCCACAATATCAAGAGCGACATGACAAAGTTATCCTCCAACACGACAATGCTCGGCCTCACGACGCAAAAGTGGTCAAAAAGTACCTGGAAACGCTGAAATGGGAAGTCTTGCCCCACCTGTCGTATTCCCCAGATGTCGCCCCTTCTGACTTCCACCTATTCCGTTCGATGGCACACGGCCTGGCAGATCAACATTTGCAATTACTGTAAGTTAAGAGGAATCGAAAGATTTTGCCACTTTATAAGAGCCTGCCTTGAACTTCATAATTTATGCGACGATAATTTGGAGTTAATAATTGAGTTAATTGGACTCGATCCAAACGGTGCGTTATGGAGTTTAGCGTAATATTTTATGTGAAGAATTAAATGAATCTAGTTATCTTATTAAACTAGATGTAGTAATAGTTACAAACAATTCGTTTTTATTTTTTTTTCGGAAACATAATTTAACATTGCTTCCAAAATATCATTTTTTCGCTTTGTTTCTTTTGTTCTTTCTTCGTAAGCTTTTAGTTTTTCTTTACTAAATTCCACTCTTTCTTCTTCCAGCCGTTTCTTTCTCTCATTTACTTCTTCTTTTCCCCGTCGTTTTTCTTCTCTCTTCTTCTTCTTCTCTCCAATAACTGAATTCCTTAGTTACAGAAGAAACACGCCTTGAGGATGAGAAGCTATTGCTCAATAATGTTAGCATTTTAGCCTCAATTTGATTATTTTCTAAAAACATTAAACACTAGTAATACAGTTAAACATTTTCCTCAAAAGCATTTACCTGGTCCAGCTATAATTTCGGTTTCAATTAGTATTGTATTGTCCAATATACAGCTATAACTGCCGAACATGATGGCGAATACATAATTGATTAATAAAGGCGCTTTCTTCAAAAAATTTCAATTTTAGTTTGCACTTGAAATCGGGCACGAACTTATGCACTCATCAATATTTCGCTGATACTTCTTCCTTCAATGTGTGAGCCTAAAGTAAATGGCGGAAATACTGATGCACTCTTATCCATGACTTCTGATAATTCCCTGAAAAAATTTAACTTCATGCAATAGAAAATATCGATCATATTCAAACACTTTACTTTTCGGAACAGCAACTGGCCTTTTCTCTTCCAGATTTATTGTTCTAACTGTTTTTTTTTCATAAACTCCCTTTCCAAGCTTTTCCACTTGCTTGCAACTTGGCAAGAGCTGGCAAAGCTGTATTTTTTGCAATCAAGTCCCACATTTTTTTTTGATTCTTTACATGTACCTGCCTGCCAAGCTTCGGGCAGAATTCTTTATAAGTATCTATGAGGAGCTTGCAGTGCCTTTCAAGCCAAACTGCCTTCTGGTTGTTGAAATTTTCTTCTATATCGCAGAAAATATCTTTTGAGTGATCAATATACTCGTTTTCCTTTTGCGGCGACACTTCTACCAATTCTTCTAAACGATGACTATGACTGATGGCGTCATTTCTATTGGCAATAGAGATAGGAACAAAATCTTCCTCCCGCTGAATTTGATGAATAGACCGACTGAACTCTGCCGTTAAAGACTTGAAAAACAACTGTGTACGGAGCTCCGGTTCTTAAAATAAGTTTAGTGAATTTTGCTGAAGTTTGAATCATGTAGTGTACTTACCTTTCATCAAGTTATTTTCTGCGCGCGGCGAGCATTCTACGGTCCCAATGTGTGCACTTCCGTTTTCCAGTCGCATTCTTTTCATTTTTATTTACTCCACATATCTTTGCAATAGTCTTTAAATAAAAACTTGGCAGACAGATCTGTCAAAACAATTATTTTGGTTACTCTATGTTACTCTACAAAAAAATTCAGAGCAAAAAATTATACTCTAAGTTGCTCTATTTCTGCTTAAAGCAGACTCATGAAACAAAGAGTAGAGCAAGTAAGAGCAAAAAAAGTGTCATGAAACACAATTTTGTGAGATAGAGTAACCTAGCCTAAACTAGAGCAGCTCAATAAACAAACCTCATATCAATGTGGTGTTTTTTACGAAAATTTATCTATAAATGAATTCATGACAAGGTGAATTTTACAAATTTTGAGACTTTCAAAATAAAAGAATATGTCCCGATTTTGATTTGAGTTGAATTTATGCGGATTTTAATAGTGACCAATGCACTTATGAGGCTGCATTTTCTCTTTCCCAAATGTTCGAGCCATTTCGTGTACATTATAAAAGCAACGAGATTGCTAGTTTTCGCTGATGCTAGCTCAGCGCGACAGACAAGAAAGTGTTAGTGTTCTATGGAATCTTCTTTTATGGCAAAAATCATTGTAGTGAAAGCCTATTTTTCCATGAGGTCATAGCCGTCTGGTCACGTTTCACGTGATCTCATTCTGCCATCTAGTGTTAGCATATTCTTTGCCATGACAAAGGTAAACCTGCATCTTGCACATGCTTTGTTTTGGATAGACGGACTCCTCCCCTTACTAGTTCGTCTGCCGTGCAATTGCTTGGAGCGTCCGCGCACCCAAACTATGACAGTGTTGCATATAATCAAGAGTTTCATCAGATTGCTTCTACATTTTTGATGTGTTACTGCTACGCTGTAGAGATCTGATAGCAGCTTGACTTTCGGAATCTGTAGTAGCTGATATTATCATTATTGAGAGCCCGCTTTTTCATCGAGCTTTGAGCCGCCTGTCAAGATGGGTTTGTTTTCTCCCAGTTTGGGATTCTTGCCGAAGTAATCCCTTGGGTTTTGTATGTATGTAAATAGAAAGAGTAGTTCGATTCCAAGCTCCACGAAATGAAAGATTTACATCTATCGGGATTCGTGCATGGCAAAAAAAAATGCGGTAGACCTGTCCGTGAAGATCGATGTTTAACAGTTCGTATATCGCCAAGTACTCGAAAACCAGTTAATAGGGTGCGCCCAGACATCGCTCGTAACTGGATCCTTCGTTACAACAAACCGCCGTGCCACACCGCCCTCAGCGTGTCCCAGTATTTGGCTTCTAAAGGGATCGCCGTATAGCAACAACCCTTTATTTGCACGATATGTCACCCTGTGACTTTGTTTGTTCCCTGGAATCAAATCTGTGGTCAAAGAAACCCATTTTGAGTCGATTGAGGACATCCAGGCGGGCGTGAAGAGGTTTCTCGTGGACATCACTGTCGAAGCGTTCCAGAATTGTAACGAAGCATGGAAAACGCACTGGATTCGTTGTATAGCTGCCCAAGGAGACTACTTTGAAGGGGATGGCGGATTTGTGGAATAATTTTAAGATATACGGTTTTTATGGAATCAGTCAGTAATGTGACTGAGTCTTATAGCTATAAACGAAAACTTCACAAAAAAAAGCCAGATGAAAATTTTGATCATCTATTTGATGCCATTGGTACAAATTTAGACTATAAGGACCTTTTTGGAAAGGTGAAGAGGTGATGTAACATGAGGAAGCAACAAAAAATAGACATCAATAAACCAAGAACGTTAGTGAATTATATGTGAACTATTTTCTTGAGCGAAGTTTTTTCGCACTTTCACCACTAATCTGCCCCATTGTAGACAATAGCGTACACCCCTATAACTCAACAAGTACATGAAATTGACTTTTCCCTTTTAAACTTTATATTCTATTACTTATGATATATTAAATAGCAATTAAAATTCATTGACATGCGTGGTTTCTGTGTGGACGTTAATGGGTTAATGCAGATTGTGGGAAGATCTGTGTCCATGGTGATGAACGAAAGTACTCGGTGCGATTGTGTCTCTTTCCTGATTTCTAAAATTCAGTTACTTTATATACATAGCTGCTGTGGAATGTCCCGTCTTTTTACCAAACATGGCGTTTCTTAGACGACGGTGACTTTAACCTTAATATTCATTAAGGCGTCAACGCCCATAAGGAACGTAGCGCGCACAAGAGACGAAGTAATTGGATTAAAGGCTACACTAACCACATCTCCCGGGAAGGAAGAGAGAACAAAGAAACGTAGTTTTTCTTCAAATGGGACAAAAATTTATAATAAGTGAAAACATTTAGTATTATTAACTTTTACTATATATCTATTGTGTGTGCAACTTGATGTTCCTCTAGCAAATGGAGAGAGAGAGAGATTTTCATGAGGAGTTTTTTATTTTATACTATAGACTCTGGGCACATGATATCTTCTGCTAAAGGGGCAACCACAATTAGATATATTAATCTCGACTCGAACTCTGATCCTTTGATTGACAGCATACACTGCTAACCATCGTTTAAATGAAGATTTTTTAATAAATATGTAGCAGAAAACAAAAAGGAGTGTGAAACAATAACCACATTTTCTCGACCAAGTAGTAAGGGAGTGGTCCAGGCTGGCTTAAAATTTGACCAAGGGGCATATGGATGCTCCTTAAGTTGCCTGCACATTCTAAATCTACGCCCTCGAACTATTTACTTAATGCATTTTTGCCGCGTTCGTCATGAAAACTGCATGTTCTCATACCAGGTTTTGCTATACTTTTCATTGGAGCTGGTTTCAATGTTGATGGTGCCAATTTGAGTGCTCAGCGTTGTTGCGTGAGTGGCTTGATTCATGATCAACCGCAGCCTAAGCACATCTAATGAATAATTTCATAAGAAAATAGTAGTCTGACTCCACTAATGCATACACTCTTTTGGCCGTGGCCCAAAGCGCCGATAATGTGACGAGGACTCAAATATAGATATTGCTCTCCATCACAACCTACAATGTGTGCATAGAAAGCATTAGCAGACTATTTTCTAGATTATGAAAATAAGCACAAAAATGTGATTTTCAAATTATGTATCTATGTAAAAAAAAATAAGCATTCTACTGTTTTTTCATATATTATATTACCTATTACTTGAAGCTAAAGGAGTTTTGCCCACAAAACTGAAATATAAATATTAGCTATTTACGATATTTTTAATAAGCTTAAGCGTACTTAATGTATGTATGTATATAAGCATCATTATGTTACAGGGTAAATATCAGAATCAATGTTTTCCATTATGAGTTGTTATAAGTGGTATATAAAGAAGTATTACGCACACACATGCACACTCAAATAGATGTGTAGGTTTCCTCACATAGTTAACACACTAAAAGTGTGCGGTGGCGTATGAGTAACATCAACCATTTACGAGCATAGAACTTCATGTATTTCTAAAGCAAACAAATTAATACATATGGTACATACTTATGCATATAATATAACCCTGCAGCGGACTATTTCCTCTATAAAAGTAAACAAAATAAATGTATGAGGGTAAATCATGTCCATGTGTGAGCATTTATTTTTTCATTTTCTAACTCCTCTTAAAATAGTTCATTACAACCTGCGGGTATGGCCACACACATTCATGCTTATATACTCGTATGCATATATATAGGTGTGAGTCACATCCTGCGTCGTTTAATCATTGATAAATCAAAACACTATTATGCTGCTGCACTATTTATACTGCAATGTTGGGTTTGGGGGTGGGAAATCCTCTTTGATGTTCGAATGTAAGGGCAAATTTCTAAATAAAATAAAAAATATTTACATGTTTTATATATACCTGCTTGTATTGTACATTTGTTGTAGTGAAGTGAAACAAGTTCATGAACATTAATGATTCTTATTTATTTATTCATTAAGTGGATTATGAATTAAGCTGATTTTGAATTGGAGTTAGTTAAGCCTCGCAGAAGTGCTGTCGACAGCAGCTCGATTAAAAACTAATTGTGGTACATATATACGTATGTATTCGAGATAAAAACATTTCACATAGTAGTAAAATAAATTCGAAAAGAGATAAAGTTGTCGGTTGGGAGACTGTTAGTTGGGAGGTAATTAAAGAAGAAGTTCCGCCAAGTGAAAAGCGGATAAGAAACTAAAAGCACAAAGTGCACTATTATAAACTAACAGAAAAACGTTAGATTAGTATATCATAGAACAAATAAAATTAACAACAAATTGTTTTGTTATGGCTTATTTATTGAGCTGCCCCAGGTTACGCCAGGTTTGCCCTTTTTTACTCCACTTTTGTTCATTAGGTTTTCTATATAAGCGGAATTAAACCAATCCAGAACTTATGATTTTCTAATCTCATTTTTTTGGTGGAGTGACTTAGAGTAAGCAATAACAATTTTTGTTATACGGGAATATACACTGAAAGAGGGCAGCACGTGACTGTGGTATGTTGACTGGTTGCAGCAAATACCTTAAGTACAAAACAAACGAAGCTCGACCATTTTCTAAAGAAATATATAAAAAACTCAAATATTTGAGGAGATTAAGCAATTTCGGTGAGTCGATCAGAAAAAAAAATATTTTTTTTTATATATTCCTGATCTTTGTTCATTTTTAGCTTCTCTACTTAATCGCCATTGATTTCAATGCCATTCTTAAGCACGTAGTTCCACTTCTGAGAACAGTCTTCAAAATCTTGCATTTTAAGCTTATCAAATTCCGTATTAACCACCTTAATTATCTCCTCGTTGATATTAAAAACCTTTTATTTTAATCTTATTTATTTTTTAGAAATAACCAGAAATCACAAGGTGATATATCCGCGGAATATGATGCTGGGCGTCTTTCTTCGATCCCAGAGATCGCAATAAAATTACTCGTTATTTCAGCAGAGTGGGATGGCGCGTTGTCATGATGTAAAAAATAGCGCCGCAAATCATCTTTCTTCCTGTTTTTCATCAAATTTTCGAAAACTTCTGAAAAGCACTCTTCGGTGTACCATTTTGCAGTTACCGTGTGACCCTTTTCCAGCGG